AAAGTGGTAAATGGCATTACAAGAAGAATCATGCATAAGATCTCCCAATATAAAGCCTAAACAACATTAGACTATTATAGAGAGTGATGTTGGCCTCGGCAGGCCTAATTCTCAAGTTGTAAATATCCTAAATAAACAACCTTGTTAAAAAATAAATCACCTCTGGTTTACAAAAGGTGGATAGCTACAAAACAAAAACAAAACCACACCCTAACCAGGCTAACTAAAAGAGAAAGTACATAAATTACTAACATTAGATAAATGTAACAGAGGACATCACTATAGACCTCATGGACGTTAAAAGAATAATAAGCCAATACTGTGAACTACTCTGCCCACAAATTTGATAAGCTGGATGAAATGAACCAATTCCTTAAGAGATAATAAAGAACTCAAACAAGTAGAAATAAACTATCTAAATAGGCTTATATCTATTAAAGAAATTGAATCAATAATGAATAACCTTCCAAAAAAGAAAGCACTAGACCTAGATAGTTCACTAGTGAATTCTACCAAACTTTTAAGGAGGAATTCACACCAATTCTCTACAATATCTTTTATAGAACAGAACCAGAAAGAATACTTCCTAACTCATTCTATAAGGCCAGCATAGCCCTAATATCAAAATCAGACAAAGATATTTCAAGGAAAAAAAACTACAAACCAATCTCTTTCATAAACAAAGATGAAAAAATCCTTAACAAAATAAGAGCAAATTAAATCTAACTATGTATAAAAAGAGTTATATACTACAACCAGGAGGGATTTATCCTAGGTATGTAAGGCAGGTCCAACATTCAAAATCAATTAATGTAATTACAATAACCTAAAATATATATCTAGACTTCAACCTGTTTCCCAACATGCAACTCCTATACCTTACAATCTCCAGACAGATGTCTCTTTGTAAGCTAATGAGGTGGCTGGTGGTTGGTAGCCCATAGCTAGAAGAGGCATGATTAGAGGGTATGGACTTTCATTCTTAACCACCAACCTCTTGGAAAGGGAAGGAGGATGAAGAAGGTTAAGTTGATCACCAGTAGCCAATTGCTTAATCAATCATGCCTATATTAACGAAGCCTCCCTAAAAACCCAAAACAACTGGCTTTGAAGAGCTTCCCAAGAGCTAAACATGTACAGGTTCCTAGAGGGTGATATACCCTGACAAGGCAAGGAAACTCTGTGAACTGTCCCCCATACATTCTATGCATCTCTTCATCTTAATGTATTGTAATACTCTTTATGATGATCTGTGCAGAAAACCCAAACCAATCAACAAAAATACTATGAGAATGAATAAAATTAAACCAAGTACACAGGACACAAGATACATAAAATTCAAACACTTTCCTATAAGCAATGACTAAGCGGAATCTTACATTAAAAACAAAATACTGAGCAGCGCCTGTGGTTTAGGGAGTAGGGCACTGGCCCCATATGCCGAGGGTGGCCGGTTCAAACCTGGCCCCAGCTAAATTGCAACCAAAAAATAGCCAGACATTGTGATAGGCACCTGTAGTCCCAGCTACTCAGGAGGCTGAGGCAAAAGAATCACCTAAGCCGAAGAGGTGGAGGTTGCTGTGAGCTGTGATGCCACAGTACTCTACCAAGGGCAACAAAATGAGACTCTGTCTCTAAAAAAAATTAAAAAAATACAATTTATATATCACCAAAAAAATCAAGTACTTAGATATAAATCTAACAAAATATGTATAAAGTCTACATGAGGAAAATTACAGAACTCTGATCAAAGCAGAATAAATGGAGGGATAGTCTATTTTCATAAACAGGAAGATTTAATAAGGTCAAGATGTCAGTCCCTCCTAACTTTATCTACAGATTCAATGTAATCCCAACCAAAACCTAGCAAGTTATTTTGTGGATATTTACACACCAATTCCAAAGTTCATATAAAGACAAAGGACTGAGAATAGCCAACACAACACTGAAGGAGAACCAAGTTGAAAGACTGAAACAATTCAAACTCAAGACTTATCATACAGGTACAGTAATCAAGTGTTAGTAAAAGTATAGATAAATAGTTCAATACAACAAAAGAGAGAACCCAAAACTAGACCCATATAAATATAGTCAACCGATTCTCAACAAAGGAACAAAGACAACACAATGGAGCAAAAATAGTATTTTCAACAAATCATCCTGAAATAACTACATATCCACATCCCAAAAAATGCATCTGGATACAGACCATATACACTTCACAAAAAATTAAATCAAAATAGACCACAGACCTAAATGTAAAACACAAAACTAGAGAACTCCTGGAACACAACATAAGAGAATTCTCATGGACGGCGGGGAGGGCAAGCAAGGGGCTATAAAAAATAAATAGAAACAACATAAGAGAAAATCTAGATGGCTTTATGGTAATGATTTTTTAGATATAACACCAAAGGCCAAGATCCATAAAAGAAATGATTGGCAAAATGGACTTTACTAAAATTAAAATTTTCTGCTCTGCAAAAGACAATGGGAAGAGAATAAAAAAACAAGCCACAGACTGGAAGAACATATTTCTAAAAGACACATCTGATAAAGAACTATTATTCAAAATATACAAAGAACTCTAAAAATTCACCAGTAAGAAAACAACCTACTTAAAAGATGAGCCAGCTCACGCCTGTAATTCTAGCGCTCTGGGAGGCCAAGGTGGGTAGATTGCCTGAGCTCACAAGTTCAAGACCAGCCTGAGCCAGAGCAAGAACTTGTCTCTAAAAATAGCTGGGGCTCTGTGCCTGGAGCTCAGTGGTTAGAGGGCCAGACTCATTCACCAGGGCTGGAGGTTTGAACCTGGCCCGGCCCTGCTAAACAACAATGACAACTACAACAAAAAATAGTTGGGCATTGTGGTGGGCACCTGTAGTCCCAGTTACTTCGGAGGCTGAAGCAAGAGGATCACTTAAGCCCAAGAGTTAGAGGTTGCTGTGAGCTATGATACCACAAGGGTGACGTAGTGAGACTGTCTCAAAAAATAAAAAACAAAATAAAATAAAAACAGCTGGGCGTGGTGGCAGGTACCTGTAGTCCCAGCTACTTGGGAGGCTGAAACAAGAGAATCTCTTGAGCCCAAGAATTTGAGGTTGTGGTGATCTATGACGCCATGGCACTCTACCAGCACTCTACTAAGGGTAACAAAGTGAGACTTTGTCTCTAAAAAACAAAAAGAAAGAGAAGACCTGGAAGAACTTTAAAAGTGTATTACTGAGTGAAAGAAGTCAACCAGAAAAGACTGTATGATGCCAACTATACAACATTCTGGAAAAGGCAAAACTATGGACACAATGGTTGTCAGGGGTTATCATCTTCTCCCCTCAACCCAGAACACAGATGATTTTTCAAGAAGTGAAAAATTATTTGTCTGATACTATAATGATATATACTTGTCCACTGTAAACAGAATATAAAACACCAAGAGTAAATCCTAATGTAAACTATAGACTTTGAGTGATTATAATGGGCTGGTGTTAGGCTCACCAGTTTTAACAAATATACCACTCTGGTAGGATTAACATCTATATATGTGTAGGTGCGGAGTGTATATGGGAAATTTCTGTACTTCTTCTCAATTTTGCTATGAACTTAAAAATGCTCTAAAAAAATAAAGACTTTAAGCACACACATATATAGACTGTCCAACAAAGATTTGACAATTTTTTTTTTTTTGAGACCGAGTCTCACTATGTCAACCTCAGTAGAGTGCTGTCGCATCACAGCTCACAGTAACCTCAAACTCTTGGGCTTAAGCAATTCTCTTGCCTCCCAAGTAGCTGGGACTACAAGGTGCCCGCCACAATGCCCAGCTATATTTGTTGTTGTTGCTGTAGTTGTTATTGTGGTTTTAGCAGCCCTGGTATATATGACCAGTGCCCTAACCACTGAGCTATAGATGTGGAGCCAGCCGTGATTTTTTTTTGTTTTTTTTTTTTTTTTGGAGACAGGTTTTGCTCTGTTGCCTGGGGTAGAGCTCCATGATGTCATCATAGCTCACCACAACCTCAAACTCCTGGGTTTAGGTAATCCTCCTCCTCAGCCTCCCCAGGAGCTGGGGCTATAGGCACATGATATCATGCCCAGCTAATTTTATTTGTAGAGACAAAGTCTCACTATTCCCCAGCCTGTCTCTAACTCCTGGCCTTGAGCAATCCTCCCACCTCAGCTTCCCAAAGTGCTAGAATTACAGGCATGAGCTATTGCACTGAGTACTGACTTTCTTCTTTCCCATGACTGTAAAGTATGTAAAATCAGAATATATGATTTTCCAAACAAGTCTGATGCTTATCTCTTATCTCAAAACACTCACCATACTACAAAATCAGAACCAGATCCTCCCTAATGCCTACAAATCCACTTTGTGGTAAGAATCAAGAGGAAGAGATGGATGATTAAGAACTCTTTTGCCCCTATTTCGAAGAATATAAACTGGCTACAAAAAAGGACTCTGAAGTCCCTCAGAAGTCACAAATTGAGGGACTGTTTCTTTTAACATACATTCTTATGTTTAATTAATATGACCTTGGAAGAGGCAAAGAATAATTTCCTTGGGCTTGTTCTCAACCAAAATTCACACCATTGACAAAAAGATGCCTAAGAATAAATCAAACTTCTTTGCCAGGCAGGATGGAAAATACTCTGGAGAGAAGAAACTTAAATACTTGCATCTTAAGATACTATAAAACATATAGGTTCGTGACAGACTCTGAGAACTTCATAATCATTGGCAGTACCCTAAGGCTGTAAAATTCAAAAACATTACAACAAAGATTCAGGAGTTTTGTTCATCTAATATTCTTCCAGTAGCATATACTCCCCTGCAATAAGTTTTTCAACAAGGATCACTAATTATAACATCAATATTGAGTGAAAAAACTTAGGACATTCAGGATGAAAAAATCCCTCATGATGACATCAAGTGAGCAAAATCTACTGTGTTTAGATCTAATGTTTTCACAAAAACTCCTTTAGATTTCTTAAACACCTACCTCTTGTAGAACTGGGATAACAGGTGGCTTTCTCTGCTGCAGAAAGTACAGCACCATAAGGATATATGCATATGAAGATAAACTTCCTCTGGAAGCATCTCCAATGTCACATCGCTACAAAAACCATAATGATTGAAAATAAAACTTCATTAATAACTTTGTCACATCATTTTTTTTTTTTGGAGACAGAGTTTCAAACTGTTATCCTCAGTAGAGTGCCATGGCGTCACAGCTCACAGCAACCTCAGACTCTTGGGCTTAAGCGATTCTCTTGCCTCAGTCTCCCAAGTAGCTGGGACTACAAGCACCCGCCACAATGCCCAGTTATTTTTTTGTTGTAGTTGTCACTGTGTTTTGGCAGGCCTGGGCTGGATTCGAACCCGCCAGCTCCAGTGGATGTGGCTGGACCCCTAGCCATTTGAGCTACAGGCACCAAGCCTGTATCAATTTTTTAACACATTGAACTAACAAATACCTAAAAGTTTAATAACAAACTCTTATACAGGGTGTGGAAGAAAAGACACTCCTAAATTGTGGGTGAGAGCATAAATTAGTACAAACTCTATCAAGAATAAATTTGGCAATATCAAAATCACAAAAGCACATTTCCCTTAACCTAGCGATTCAATTCTAATAATGTGTTCTAAATTAGTACAAACTCTATCAAGAATAAATTTGGCAGTATTAAAATTATGAAAGCACATTTCCCTCAACCTAGCAATTCTATTCTAATAATGTGTTCTGTAAATATGCCAAAAAATGTGTAAAATGATGAAACACGAAGGTTCATTGCACCATTGTTGTAAAAGCAAAAATCATAAGTTATAATAAAAATCAGAAATAATTTTAGGTTTATTAATAAAGCACAGGTTAACAAAGTTGAGAACTATCAATGCAATCTAATAGTATGAAGCCATTGAAAAAGAACAAAGAATGCCTACAATCCCAGGAGTTCAAGGCTAGCCTGGGCAACCCAGTGAGACTCAGTTTGTTACCAAAAAAAAAAAAAAAAAAAAAAAAAGGATATTCTTATACTAACTAATATGAAATGATCTCCAAGACCTATTTATCACAAAGTTTAAAAGAAGTTCAGAACAACATTTTCAGTATGTTTCTATTTGTAATAAAAAGGAAATAGGTAATTTATGCATTTGCTTATACTAGTATAACATATTTCTAGGAGGATAGAGAGGAATTTTTAACACTGGTTGCCCCCAGCAAGAGACCCTGGTTGGCTAGCAAACAGGTATGGAATGGAAATTTTTCATTTTTCATCATATACTTCTTCAGATCTTTTGAATTCTGAAGATATGAATATGCTGGATATTCAAATAATTTTAAATTACAAAAAAAAAAAGAAACTAAAAGAATCTCCAGAGACTTCTGTCCTTGAATAAGGATTTAGCTTATATCTGTATTTGATTTCCTTACCAAACTCTAAGTATTTATAGCCAAACTGTCATATTGGAATAATCTTGTGAGATAAATCTTTAAAAGTAGCTGTATTTAGTTTGTGCCTGCATGCTTTTCTTCTCTAAGACACTCGATGTCTAGAAACACAGGAGTATCTAAACAAATATGCTTTCCTATTGGAAAGAGTAAGCTTTATGAAATGAAAATCTGATCAAGTTTCTCCCCTACTAAAACTTTCACTAACACATTCATAAAATTCACTTTCTATTTACTGAGCAGCTACTATAAAGCAGGAGCTACACTGAACCACAGAAATAAAAGTCTCTGCCCTTGTGCAGTTTACGCATTTAGCAGAACAAGGAAACAGAATTCAACATATAACCAAAATTGTAACAGGAAAAGCATAACGTTTTATTGGTACTATTGTTTTCTTGTCATAAGAATTTATCACTCAACCCAAACATTTCCTAACCCAGAGATTCTTCACTAGGATGGTAGCCCAACTCTCACACCTGAGATTGAAAATCATCATAGCACTAAAAGTTTCACCACTGAGAAACTAGCTAGAGTTGAACATGGCAATAGAGCAGCAGTTCTCAACCTGTGGGTGGCGACCCACAGGAACTGTATTAAAGGGTGACAGCATGATCTGTTTTTTGAAATTATCTTTTATTTATAAATATTAGTTGTCTATTTTTTGAGACTTTGGGGGAAAAAATGAGAAGAAGTTAACTGATGACTCCATACTGAACCTCACAGTCAAAGCATTCTGTGATAGACATACTCTTATTTGACAATGTGAATGTGATTTTCTTTGCATTATTATCATTGCTTAATATTTCGATGCAGCAATTGTCTTCCTTTCTGAATGTTTTTATCTTCATTTGTTCTTTACGAGGTTTTTGTTTCTAGTCCGTATCTTAAACATTGTTACTGTTATTAAATTTTAAGCCTTTTTACTTTTGTGAAGGCAAAAAGTGGAAACCTAATAAACACATGTATATGTAAAAATATATAAAAATAAAATAAAAATAAAAATAAATTAAAAAATTAAAGAAAGAGTCACGGCATTAGGAAGGTTGAGAACCACTGCAATAGAGCATGCACAGGAAAAAGACTATGAATCACAATTAAACCCATTTAATAATGTCTTTTTTAAAAAGTTCAGGTAAACAAGTCTGAGGTAATACTTTTCACAAGTCTGACAGCAGTATGTTTCATTTTAAATATCATGAGTATTATAACAAAGCAGATTAAGCAGATTATTAACTGCTTCATAAATACCTTAGCAAACACTTTCATGGTATATCCCAAATACTGCACTCTAGGATCAATAGCTGCATAAGTAGCTAGCATTCTCGTATTATGTTGAGCCTGAAAAATAATTACATATTTGAAAACATTTCAAAGTTTTGAGAATCAAACTTAAAAATCAGTAAGAAGATATGATACATGCCAAATAAAAAAAAATATAAATGTAAAACGTAAAGTAGCTATTAATGAGTCAAAAACTAACCTTCAACCTGAAGGAAATATTAAGATGACTAATAAAATACTTTCTCCTTATACTGATCACCTTTGAAAGTTTTAAACATAAAGGTACAATCAGTAATGTTTAACTTTTGAAATGAAAAATAAAACTATACCTAACCTATAAAAAAGAAACTTACCAATGTATTATATAAACTGATATCTCCTTCTAAACCACTTCGTCTGTGTTCAAATTTTACAATAGGCACTTTGGCAGTGGTTATAGGCAAAATGTTTCTTAAACCTATTTAAAAAAAAAAAAAGGCTTCAATTCAGAAGGTTCGATAATTTCATGATGTTAACACTATTTTATATTTTGTATTTTGCTTTAAAGCTAATATTTAAGATTCATACCTGGATGTCTCTTAAGAATTTTTGCCAAATTCTCGATTATTTCCTTACAATTTAATTTCTAAAAAAAAAAAACATATAAATAATAAATTAAATTTTATCTGACTCAATTTGGCCTTGTGCAAATTCTACTTCAGTCTAAGCATTTCATGCTAGCATTCAAAATTTCTAGTCATTAAGCTCTATATAACCTTGCTACTTAAATGTAGATCCACAGTATCAGTATAATCTGAAACTTGATAGAAATGCAGAATCTCAGGCCCCTTCCCAGTCCAAATCTGCATTTTAACAAGACACCAAGGAAATTCACATGCAAATTAAAGTCTGAGAAGCACAAAGACAGGAGAATAATATAGTTTTCAACAAGTGAATAAACTAGAGGTTGGTTTGTTGAAAACAAAATAGTACAGCGATTAAGAACATAGGCTCTGAATTTTGCTAAACTTGGATTCAAATCTTGAACTAAGTATTCAGACCCATAACCCTTTTGAGCATCACACTGTTATTCTATAAAATCATGATAATCATAAACTCCTGACTTACAGAATTGTTGGAAGGATCACAAGAGACATGTATGAAAAACATCCAACAGCATGACTGGCACAAAATAAGCACTTTAAATCTGTGAGCTACTTATTATTGTTGTTGTTAATTATGTTGATGAGGAAAAGAAAGATACTCCTATTATTACCAGTACTTATTTTTCCAAGGAAATTCTTACCTCTGCAAATTTAAATGTCTTACTTCTTTAAAAACCAGAGACAACAGAGTTGGTATGATAATGATAATCATAATACAAGGAACAGGGAGGATAATGGTATTATAAATTAACTGTATTAAGCTGAAAAGCTATAAACATCAATCCCAACAGTGATTAGTAAATCACTTTTGCATATTTCTGACATGCTCCTTTTAGGTACAAGACAGCAGTAGCCATAGTAGCTTAATATGAGGATTTCAAGGAAATCGTTATTTTCTAATTCATGCACAATAAAATGAACAAAGGAAATAATTTTTTTATTATGCAAGGATACAATTACGCTATGTTTTAAAAGTTTCAATTATGGCTCATCTGAAAGAAAATAATTTATGCTTTTTTAACTTCCCAATGTGAATGACACAGTTTGGATTCAAATCTTAAATTGAAGAGGTTGCTATGTATTTGTACACATATACGATACATAAACCTTAGAGATCAGAAATCTGACTATTAAATTTTACATAAAAGTTACCTAAAATTCTAACCTTCTCCCTGGGTAAGAATCACTTCCTATTTCCTTAATTCTTGCTCTTCAAAATGGAGAAGGGGAGCCTTTCTCCAAGTTGACAGCACTAAATAGAATTTAGTTAAGGAGCACAAATAAAACATTTGCAACTTTTCAGGTTCTTTATACAACACTACAATAGTAATACCAAAAACAACTTCTTCAGGCCAGAAATAAAGATCCACCTGGCATCACTAACAACTTTACTCTGGGACTAACAATTTCATTATCTTTTCAAAAAATTATTTCAGCAAAGTATACTATTTTGCTGAATTCTTTTATAAAGTAATAGAGGCTATACTGACACCACTACAGATGCCAGAAGCTTGGCCTCACCCCAATCTTGCAAGCGGTCCCATATTTTGAAAAATAAGTACCAGTAGCTATACTGGCAAAGGACCAAGCATCTACAAGAATCCCCTCCTTTTCCAGTTGCTGGAAGGAAGGCCTCGAACACTTCTTGCCTGCCCAATCATTCCCTTTCTTCACTGGAGCTTGGACAATCTCATTCCCACTATAAGGCCTGGTACACAGAGAAGGAAAGCATAAGTACCCATTCTCACTACTGAAATTGCACTGGGGGAAGGTCTGCTCCTGGCATCTCACGGTGGAACTCAGAAAGTAGTGGTTAGGTTCTACAGTACTATTAGTACTATATTTCAGCTACATTATGGGTTAAAAAATTACAAAGAGGCAATGAGACACAATGGAAAGAGCATGAACTCTGGAGTCAGACAGACCTGGGTACGAATCCCGGCTCCAACAATTACTAGCTGTGTGAACTTGGGCAAGTCAGTTTATCTCTCAAAGCCTCAGTTTCCTCATCTGTAAAATGGGGGAAATAATACCTACCTCGAAGGTGGTTGTAAGAATGAAATGAGATAATGTATGTAAAAGTGTATACTGGGAACTTAAATATTAGTTCCCCTCCCCACCCAAAATGGTTTCTAAAAGCTATCCCAGGCCAGGTGCGGTGGCTCACACCCATAATCCCACTCTTTTGAAAGGCTGAGTCAGGTAGAGGGCTTCAGCTCAGAAGACCAGCCTAAGCCAGAGAGAAACCCCATCTCTACTAAAAATAGAAAAATCAGCCAGGCATTGTGATGGGCACCTGAAGTCCCAGCTACTGGGGAGGATGAGACAAGAGGATCCCTGAAGTCTAAGGGTTTGAGGTTGCTATGAGCTATGATGCCACAGCACTCTACCCAGGGCAAAAGAGTGAGACTCAGTCTCAAAAACAAAAAACAAAACAAAACAAAACAAAAATTATTAAATAAATAAAATAAAAATGTTTAAAAAATAAATGAAAATAAAAGCTATCCTAGAATATAACTTATATGCTTCTATGAAAAAATTGTATGTGAATGGTCAAAAATTACAATTAACTGTTAGAACACAACTCATTTATAAATTAGATGACTGCCTATATTTACTATCTGCAGTGATACAAAGAAAGACATCATCTAATATAAAAGATATGGGAAGACACAGTGAGATCAGCGTTAACTACCAAAGTAATGCGTTAACCACCAGCTTCTCATTGATTCTGATGAAAAAATTCCAACTTCATGATATATTAATTTTTTTTTTAATTCATTACAAAGCACTTGTAATTCTCAGGGATATAACTTTTGCATTATGAAATTACTAAAGCAGTAAATTTACTTATTTTAAGATTTGAATGTCTTTTAAGTTGGTAATGCTAATTTTTTTATATATATACATTTTTTTTTTTTGAGGCTTCAAGCTGTTGCCCTGGGTAGAGTGCTGTGGCATCACAGCTCACAGCAACCTCCAACTCCTGGGCTCAAGTGATTCTCCTGCCTCTGCCTCCCAAGTAGCTGGGACTACAGGTGCTTGCCACAACACCCAGCTATTTTTTGGTTGCAGCTGTAATTGTTGTTTGGCAGGCTCAGACTGGATTTGAACCTGCCAGCTCAGGTGTATGTGGCTGGCGCCTTAGCCGCTTGAGCCATAAGCTCTAAGCCTATATTTCTTTTTTTTGAGACAGTCTCACTTTGTCACCCTTGGTAGAGTGCCATGGAGTCATATCTCACAGCAACCTCAAACTCTTGGGCTCAAGTAATTCTCTTGCCTCAGCCTCCCAAATAGCTGGGACTATAGGCGCCTACCACAATACCCAGCTATTTTTAGAGATGGGGTCTCACTCTTGCTCAGGCTGGTCTGGAACCTGTGAACTGAGGCAATCCACCCACCTCAGCCTCCCAGAGTGCTAAGATTACAGACATGAGCCACCACACTTGGCCCAATTGTTTTATATTTCAAACACTGCTATTAATAATATATTTATACAAAGAATGACTTCATGTAATTTTATCAATATTATATACAACTACAAAAATATATTCACCATTGGGAGAAAATGAAATTTCCACATCCCTTTCCAAGCACTAACACTTACCTCTGCATTCTCATGGCCTTCCAGGGTCATACAAATATCCAGATCACTATCACGAAATCCAAATCCATTTTTAGAGGAGCCAAATAAACACAATCTTGCCTTCTCTAAGCAAAGAAAAATAAAAGTTAAAAGTCTTACAATTAGCAAGAAAGAAGATTCTTCTATTATCTACCTTGTGACTTAGCACAAGGTGATCTTGTCTCCTTCTATGGTTTGAATTACCTACCAGTGGAAGATATATTAAAAAAATTCTAAAACAATGTTAAGTCCAGATCTTTTACCTAAGTTCTCATATCCACGTACTCAACTGCTTTTTCCACTTTTCCACAGACATCCTAAGTTCAACATATCAAAACTAAACTATCAATTTCACCTCAAATCTATTTTTATTACTGCCAGGAGTGGTGGCTCACATCTGTAATTCTAACATTCTGGGAGGCCGAGGTAGGAGGATCCCTAGAGCTCAGGAGCTTGACCCCAGCCAGAGCAAGAACAAGACTCTATCTCTACTAAAAACAGAAAAATTAGCCAGGCATTGTCGGAGGCACGAGTAGTCCCAGCTACTTGAGAGGCTGAGCAGGAGGACTGCTTGAGTCCAGGAATCTGAGGTTTCTGTGAGCTAGACTGAGGCCATGGCACTCTAGCCTAGGCACCAGAGTGAAACTCTGTCTCTAAAAACAAAACAAAAAAGAAATAAAAAGAACTTATTTTATTCCTATAATCCCTTTTCTCAGCAAATTGTATCATCATCCATTTAGCTGCCCAAATCAGAAAAATAGGTACAACTCTTAACACCTCTCTCAACCTCCATATCCAAACAATCACGAAAGGCTTTAGTTTCTTCTAACTTATCTCAGAATGCACCTACTTTTCTGCATTCTCAACATCACTATCAATAGTTAAGGGGACTGATCTCTTAAAAATAGATTTTTCCTGTTACAATTCAAGCAGGTTTATGAATATCACCTTAGCACATAGAATTAATTCTCTTCCATAAAAGAGTGATTAATCCAGTTGATATAAATTAAGATATAGTTATCCCCTCACACTCAGTGTCATTCAGTAACAGCTACCACTTCAAATAAGCTGTGGTTTTAAAAGCTGAATTTTTCTTCCTTTTCTTTTATTTTTTAAAAAAAATTTTGGAGACAGGATGTTACTAACCGGACTGGAGTGCAGTGGCTATTCACGGGTATAATAATAGCTCACAACAGCCTTGAACTCCTGGCCTCAAACAATCCTCCCACTTTAGTGTCTGGAACAGTTTGGGACTATAGGCACGCACCACTGTCCCTGGCTCTTTCTATTAATATTATGTAGTTTACACATTTAATAACAAATTCTGTATTTTCAAAACTTAATTCTCTCATCCAATTCTGATACCCTACTTGAAATTTCAATGAAAACTCAGAGGCATAAAAGCAGCTATGCTCATCAGCAAATAGAAATGAGCACTAATTAATGGTCAATATTTTATATACTAACAAATACAATAAAAAATGGACATGTAACAGATAGATTTTTAAAGTACAAATTCATTTTGAGTATAAATCAACGTTATCCTCATTTAAAATATTTAGGCACAAAACTCTTAATTCTTCACTATTAAAGCAAAAACTTTAAAGCCTTCCTTAACTTCTTTCTTTCTCTCCCATCAGCAAATTCTGTTGGCTCTGCCTTCAAAATTATATCAAATCTGAATACTTGTCTACTCCTTCAAATCGCTATTATGTCTCTTATCTGGACTTACGCAGTAGCCTTCTAAACGTTCTGCCTACTTAGACTCTGATGGCACTACACTCTGTTCTCTCATATTATGTTACTTAATGGTTAAAAACCGTCTAAAAGCTTCTCATTAGACACTCAAAATAAAATCCAAAGTCCTTCTACCTAATGATTCAATTCCTAGGCCACTTCTCTCACCTCATATTTCTATTATAGTCTATCTCTAATACTCCAGCCACACTGCCCCCTCTGGCTGGTCTTCAAATACGTCAGACATAATCCAGTCTTGTTCTCTCTACAATGTTCTCTCCTTGCATATTCATATAATTACTTCTTCATATTATTTTTAGGATTCTGCTCACATGCCACCATTTCAGAGAGACCTAACAACACTCCATCACTTCTATATTTTTAGCTCCTATACCTTAACAGCATTCACTGGCTAATATTACATATTTGTTAGTCAACTGTCGCCCCCTCGCCCCAAATAAAAGCTTCATGAAGGCAGGTTTCACTTCTCTTATTAGCACTGTATCCCCAGTAACTAAAATAGTACCTAGTACATAACATTCAGTAAGCATTTTTTTAAATTAAATATACTCAAGACCATGTGACTATAGTAACAAAAGCAATCAATTTTTAACCTATGACATACCATCATATTCTTTTTGAATAAACTTTTCCAAGCCAATTAAAATTTGCTCCCTGTTGTGTTGTTCAGAGAAAGGTGGTGATAACTCATCTAGGTTTAAAAAAAAAAAGAAGAAAAAAGGAAAAAGAAAAGTAAGGAAAATAGTATCTGAAAACATCTTCAAGTTTTTGCCATAAAAATTTTACAGTTTTGTTAAATTTTACAATTTCTTCATTATATGTTAACTTTTCTGAGCTTAAAACCATAAACGTTACTGAGGAAGGGAAAAAGGAAGGGGAAAGGAAAGGGGACAGGACAAAAATAATGTTTAAAGATCTATGTACATTTTACATGATCATTTTCCCTATGATATATTTACCAGTATATCTTCAAACTATTTAACAATATACATTCCAATAACCATGCATGTTTTCCTCCTTTGTTAAAATTGTGTTCATATTGCACATTAGGCACTAAGGCCTATCCAAATCTAACAGTTCGCTCAACTGCCTGGTCAAGATTTCATATCTTACATATAAACTGTTTTGAAAACACAGACTTTAATGGTCTTTCCTTTATTCCATTTCTTTAGTTCTCCAAGGTACATGCCACAGTCCAGCCTCTGTTTTTATATTGTCTTTTCAGTTTTTTAGTTATTGTATTTAAATTCATCTTATTTTTCCAAATAAGACCATATATTCCTTAAGAACAAAGTATTTTTCTTATCTCCTCTTCCAGACTCATCCCCAAAGTTAATATAATAACAAGAACAGAGCATTAACTTATTATAAATTTGCCTTAAAGAACTAAATATTTAGTTTTTTAAAAATAAACGTATCAGTGGTTACAGAGGGAGTTCAAAAAATGAAATACAGGCAATTTGTTTTTAGTGCAATACAACTATTCTGTATGATACTCTATTAGTGAATACACAACACAACACACTCAACAAAACCAACAGAATTCTGTAGCACAAACAGTGTGCCTTAATATATGCAAATTTAAAAAACTTATCTAGGAGATCAAGAGGCGTCAGGATGTGATGCAGACTGTGACAAAAAAACTAACTATATTATAAATACATAAAACAACTTCACTCAAAGGATTGAGAGGAAAGGTGCTAACCTTGGTAAATCTGAAAATGAGTGGAACCTGTAAGACTGAGGGCAACAAGAATTATACATAAACATTGTACTTTAGTTGATAAAGTTGTTTCCCACAGGGGTATGGGTTAACATTTCTGATGCTACTATACATATATACTGAAATTGGACAACAAATGGGTGGGAGATGGTGGGAACCAGGTGTTGCATCATTGGAGTGGGAGTTTACAGATAAGCAAGATGACAAGGTGAGAATGAACCATATGGTAAGGGATTAGAATTAGAGATTCAGTATATGTTTAGCTTAATATAGATAAGATGGTCACACATAGAAATACTTACAGATAAGTATAATATATATAGGTTAGTACACATATACATACTTTCTCACTCTTAAGAAGGCCTCAAAGCAATGGTACCCCAGTAATATCAAGCACACCTAGTATTCAGATACTGATTTCTAATACCATTTTCCAACGAAAGGAACCAGGGCTCCCTGGAGAAATATCTGATTCTAGGACTAGGGCAGAAAATATACATGGTGAGCCTAGAGCATCTTACAGTGCCAGAAAGTAAGGAAATGCTAAACAAACAAACAAATAAAAAACTTGGACACACTGATAGGTATATGTAAAAGGAACCCAGAGGACAATTGAAAAGAGATAACAATAGCTAAATCTGAAATAATTTGAGCAAGAAGACAAAGTAGTATTTGATTATACCCTGAAGTATAAAATACCCTGAGTCCACATTGAGATAAATGACTAAATAAAAACAAATGTAACAAACTGCATCCTAATAAAGCTACTAAAAAACAATATGCTGTGATCCAACCACTCCACTGGTAAATGTTTACACAAGAGAAATGAAAGTATGTGTCCACATCCAGACCCACACATGAACATACATGACAGATTTACTTTTAACAGCCAAAATTTTGAAATGAGCTAAATATTCAACAACAGGTGAATGGATAAACAAATTTTGGTATGCCCAAAGAACAGAATACTACTCAGAAATAAAAAGGAATTAACCATTGATAGATATAACATGGATGAATCTCAAAATAACTATGCTGAGTCAAAGAAGCCAGAACTAAAAGAGTACATTCTATGTAATTCCATTTACAGAGAACTCTAGAAAATGCAAATTTAATCTATAGTGACAAAAGCAGGTAAGTGGTTGCCTTGCAGGAGGCAAATTTTATCTTACTTGTGCCAGTAAGTAATTCATAAACGTCTGCTGAGTAAAGGTATATCACAGGTACTTCACAAATGTTTGCTGAATTAAAGGCATGCAAGACTTTCCACCAAATATCCTTTTCTCTCTCTATTGCCTTTCTTAAACCCCACTAAATCAAAGGTAATTATTCCCTCATTATGTTTCTAGGCATAATGTAAAAATGTAGTTCAAAGTCCATCTCAAATACCACATCATCACTCCTGATTCCTCTGATCCACCCCAGTTAAAACTGTGTTTACACTGCCTTTGTTTACCAATACTACAGCACATAACATATTCTGCTTCCAGTTACAGCAATTTACATAGTCTTCTATATCCATCTAGAGCAGTGTTTTACAAGAGCACTGCAATAACAGAAATGTTAAAGAAATGTTAAATAGGCTTGGTGCCCATAACTCAGTGGTTAGGGTGCCGGCCACACGCACCAGGGCTGGTAGTTCAAACCCGGCCAGGGCCTGCTAAACCACAATGACAAGAGGCTCGGCACCCGTAGCTCAGTGTGTAGGGCACTAGCCACATACACCAAGGCTGGCAGGTTCGAGCCCGATAAATAACAATGACAACTGCAACCAAAAAATAGCCAGGCACTGTGGCAGTCCCAACCACTTGGGAGGCTGAGGCAAGAGAATTGCTCAAGCCCAAGAACTTGAGGTTACTGTGAGCTGTGATGCCATGGTACTCTACCAAGGGTGACATATGACACTCTGTCTCAAAAAAACAAACAAATAAAAAAAAAAAAGTTAACTAGACTGTCTAGTGCAATAGTCACTAGCCACATGCAGTTAGTGTATATTACAGATGTGTCTAGCATAACTGAGGAACTTAATTTTTATTTAACTTTAATTGATTTCAATTTAATAGCCTATCATATCAGATTGCTCAGATCCAAGGTCTAAGTTCCTTAAAAGCATTTACAACACTGCCCTGCACATAACAGTCATGGACTAAGTATCTATGCTTGGGTCTTTATAAACTATTCAAAAACCTATGCCAAAAGAAAATGTAAGCAACCTGTTTTTATATTAGAAAATAAATACATCCACAACATAAAAAAAAAAGAAAAGAAATACTTAATATCAAAGAAAGACTCTAGTCCCAGTAGTTACACTGATAAAAAGACTTACCAAAACATCTTTTACATACTAAATCAAGTATTTCTCGAAATCGGTTTGTCATTGGTGGTAGAGGCTTTAGATCAATTTTCCTGAAATCCTCAGGGCAATCATTCTTTGAATGGCCATCCTTTTTGCAGATGCTGCATACTATCGTTGGTGGCTATACAAAGGTAAAAAATAATCTAATAATCTAATAAACTTTAGAGAAATTTCATTACTTAGAATGTGAATCCAAAATCAGTCTTTTACATAGCTCAGTTCTGATAACCTGTGCTTTCAAGAGGCAGAAAACACAAAAGTAAAAAAATGTTAATGAAGTACAGTGTCAGATATAAAAAAAACTTTTTTGAGTTAACCACTTTTTCTCTCCCACTAAAATGATATCAAGGATTATTAAGCTTACCTGAAGATGTAAAATACAGAAAATGTCAGGAGATACATATAGAAGGTATGGGTTAATTCAAACAACTTGATCAGTTCCCAAAAGGAAATATATGCATTTTATTTTTATTTTACTGAGAACTAGCAAAGTAGACTATAAAGAAATTTTAAGTTACAGCTTTCATTTCATTCTAAAAATTTTCTATCCTCAAAATCAACCAATCACAGAATCCTCATTTAGCTAACTAGTTCAATTTATTACATTAGCACTCAAAAAACCAAACTGTGAATTAGCTTCATCCAAAGAACAACTTATTCAGTAGCCACAAAATGAACTACAAACCATACTACCATTTTAAATGTATATATAGTGGAGCCATCAGACAAATGGTTGAAATAGTAAAAATTAATGCCAACTAGCTGAAAAACTACATATGGTTAAAGAAGACCCCTTTTCTTTTTCCTTATTATAATTCACCTAGAAAGCAGAGTTAGTGTCTTCCTCTAGTTTTAGCCTAGACATTGACAAACTCTGAAGCAAATTATATACAGAAACCTTTGGGGTAATGCTACACTGTGTGCTAATTAACAGTATCAGCTTTTTCAGGCTGGAGCCTGTGGCTCATGTCTGTTATCCTGGCCCTCTGCGAGGCCAAGGCAGGTAGACTGCTTGAGCCCAGGAGTCAGACTGAGCAAGAGCAATATCCTGTCTCCACTAAAAGTGGAAAAACTAAGGTGGTGCCTGTGGCTCCGTGGGTAGGGCGCCAGCCCCATATACCGAGGGTGGCAGGTTCAAACTCGGCCCCGGCCAAATTGCAACAAAAAAATTGCCAGGCATTGTGGCAGGCACCTGTCATCCCAGCTACTCAGGAGGCTGAGGTAAAAGAATTGCCTAAGCCTAGGAGTTGGAGATTGCTATGAGCTGGGTGATGCTACGGCACTCTACCAAAGGTGATAAAGTGAAACTCTGTCTCTACAAAAATAAATAAATAAATAAATAAAT